GAACAAGAGCGAGGGAGTCGACGTTCTGTGTGGGCGGAGATGGAAACCACCAAGGGCGGTGGGGCTGCAAAATCGAACATGAAGAAGGTCTCCCAGCATGAATTCGGCGGCGAAGATGCACCACTCTCCATCTCAATTATCGAGGTGATTTGTTTTCTTTGTTGAATCGAGGGTAAAATATCTTTGATACCACTAAAGTATGAGAATTGGGGGAGCTATACCACTAAAGTTAGAATAGGGCGTCGGGTACCACTAAGGTCACTGAATTGTGCATCCGTTTAAAATTCCGTTCATCTACCGTTAAACAAGAATAAAATATTATTTTTTTGACAAAAAAATAAAGAATTATACAAAACAAAAGGAAAAATTAAAGCAAAAACATAAAACGTTTCCTCTTCCAAATGGTCGTAGCATCGCGCCGTCGTCGCCGTCCTGGCCTCCTCGCTTTCTCCACTTCACTAATTACTTTCATGTCGACCAAGAAGTCTCTGGGGATACAGGTGAGGGTGTGCGTCGGGAACGTATCCCTCTTCCAAATCTCCATAGCATCGCCGCCGTCCTCCTCCTGACCTTTTGTTTTATAAAATTCTTTACTTTTTTGTCAAAAATAATATTTTATTCTCGTTTAACGGTAGATGGACGGAATTTTAAACGGATGCACAATTCAGTAACCTTAGTGGTACCCGACGCCCTATTCTAACTTTAGTGGTATAGCTCCCCCAATTCTTATACTTTAGTGACATCCAAGGTATTTTACCCGTTGAATCGAGTATACACAGTTGGATTCGACACTCTTGAGAAGATGTAACGGAGGAACTTGTTTAGAACATGAAAGAGGAGTACGGGCTATTTGTTTGGCCGTGCAGCGTAATACTGGCCGAGTATATTTGGCAACAGCAGCGGCGCTTCTCCGGTGCCAGAGTGTTGGCCTTCCTAAAACTACATGCTTACAATGCGTAGGCTCCACATGTTGGCTCATTAAATGGAAGGCAACGAATAGGGAAATGAGAAGGGCACAACAAGGGTTTGGAAGATATATTGGCCCTATCTTGGCAACATGTATGATAGGGTAAGTGTAACTCAAACTATCTCATGTTACATTCTGTTCTACTCCATTTTTGCATCTTACGTTTTCTTGTGATCGTCTTTGGCAGCTAAGTGAAAGGGTTTCGCGACGTGGTGTACAAGCCACTATGCCAGACAATCCTCCAATCAATGCTACACAACTGCCTACTACTCAGCATGAGTGGCCCTAGGGAACTATAAGATATATAACTTGCCCGTAGGAAGCTCCACACATTTGTTAGGAACTAAAAGGACTTGTTTCCAATTATGTAAAGTCTGATGCGGAGTAGTAGAAATGGCCCTCTTTTGTTAGGTACTCATATTTTGGAAACTTGTTAGCTGGAATGATCGAAGGAGTTGTACATGCTAGAATATTCCTTTTCTGTTAGGTACCTAGGTTTCGCCATTATGGTAACATGAATAGGGATGGCAATAATATCCGTAACCGTGGATATCCGCCCGAATCCGACCTAATGGGGTAGGGTAAAACCCGAATCCGAAGGTCTTTTAGTGGGTACGGGTAAAACCCGAACCCGAATATTGCGGGTAATGGGTGGGCATGGTTTTCTCACTATCCAACCCGAACCCGCCCGATTATACACATGCATATGTATTTTGTCTAGAAATAATCAATATTTTTATCTTGCATATTTTATATTTAGCATATACATATAATAGTTTTATAAAATTGTGTTGTTTTAATTAATTTTCTTCATTCTAGCGAATTATTGTCATACTTTTTGTCTTAGGTAACGTGAGAATACGTGTCAATATTAACATATTGGTTGGAGTTATAAAGAGAAACTATTACCCATGGATAACCGTGGATACCCGAAACCCGAACGGGTATGGGCATGGTTTAAATTTTCTACCCGTTTCTTATGTGGGTATGGGTAAAACCCGAACTACTTTGGGTAGGGTAGCGGATATGCACTATCTGTCCCCGACCCGACCCATTGCCATCCCTAAGCATGAATGATCCTCTTTTTATACATGCTAGGACATGTTTCATATTGGATGGTGATATATGAATACGTTAGGAGTTATTGGATGATGCTAACTTTCTTTAAATCGTTCAAACATCCATTACATATGAAATACTGAAATTACAAACACAACAACTCCTAAGAAGAGTACACAAAAGCAACAAAATGTCAACATCCATTGTGTTGTTCAATGTCAAACATCGATTACATAGGAAATAGTGAAAACACAAGCACAATCACGACTAATAAGAGTACACAAAAGAAGCAGAATGTCATCCTCCTTTGAAGGGCACAAATCGTCTGTCTCATCTTTCGCAATTCTACACAACTTGTTGCACTCAATTCTTAAACCTTGGTCAAGTCTTCTAATATCACAACCTTCTCTTGTTTCCTTTTCCCGACCTTCTATTCTCCTCTGCGGACACACCCTTAAAATGCTTCCATATCACCTAGCTTCAACTTTCGCTCATAGTTCTCCTCCATTAATCCATCGACCAACGAGTCACTTTCAGTTTCAGATTTTTTATCAACCCATTAGAAGAAGCGAATGTTCTTACTACGATCCTACAGAGAATAAACATGTGATTAACACCCACCAATTCATCATATCTCCCAGCAAGTCACTTTCTCACTCGAGTAGCAAAGAGGGATTTCAGCATTCTTCCCGAATTTGTGCTTGTGCGAGAGATATTCACCACGCGTGGAGCTTTGTGAACTTCACATCGAATCATAGTTGTGTTAGTCGAACCGGAAGAGGTGGAACCCTCGCCGCCGATTTTTTCGCTTTTCCTTGACATGCCTGCTTCTCGCTAGAAACTTGGGGGTCAGATATGATATGAGTACGACGACGACACAAAGGAACAGGTCGCCTCTATAATATTCTTGACAATGCTAAAGGTCGGGGACGAGCTGGAGAGTAGAGGGAATTAGGGCATTCGAATTTGGGGGTGGGGGGCAATTATTCTGCGATATAATAAAGTGGGTCGATTTTGTTTTTTTATAATTTGGATAAAAATAAAAAATAAATGGGATTATGTGGAAATTTTGATTATTTTAAGTTAAAAGATGCTGAATTGGTGGTGACATGGCGGGTTTCACCATCAAAATTGAAAAATGTAGGAATATTTTAGACCACAATGTTAGGCTCTGTTTACTTTCATTTCTGTTTCATGTTTTGAGAAAACATATGTTGAAAACAGGTGAAAACAACATTTCGTCGTTTCCGAAAACAGTAGGAAGTTGCCACTTTCTATTTTCATAGTTGGAAACGAATAGAAAACATAATTAAAATAAACAAGTTATCTCGTTTTGGTTGCCAAATTTATGACATGAAAACAGGAAACGAAAATGGAAGTGAACAGGGCCTTAATTACTAAAAAGTTTGGGACTTTGTTACGGTGACATGCATGTCACGGTGACATGCACTTTTCGGTCGACCTCATATAGGATTAGGTCGACCTAATCTGTTGTTTCAGTGTAAATACAGTTTCATGGTGCCTACTTTGGAGATTCATATCTTACAATTGGCTTGATGGAAATTGGAGATTAATGGGTCGTTTGGAAGTTACGTATGTTAAATCGTTGTATTGTTATGAATCATTGTGATATAAATGTATGCATTGATACAATAGATGCATTTTGAAATTACATTGTTTGGTTGTTGAGATTATAATTTATGAATGGATTGTTATAAAGTTACTTTATAAGAAAATGTCATATTTGTCCTCCACTTTTAATATAAAACAAAAAGAACTATGTACATAATTGGAAAAAGTAAAGGTGCTCAATTATTAAACCAACAATCATAACAATCTAAACTTTTAGTTGAGATTGTACAATCCCTCATTTTTGTTGATTGTTGGTGGGACCCACACAAAACAATACATGCATTCTTTTGCAACTTGACACTTCCAAACGTTGTATTGTGGACAATACATGTATTTAACAAATACAACACTAACAATCGCAACTTCCAAACGACCCCTAAATGCTTGTTTTGAAGCTGAAGTGTCCCTCTACACATTAAAGTACTTGGATGCTCAATAGAAAGTCAAGAAGACCATTTTTGAACCTGACCAAAAGGCAATGCCAAAACTGGGAAACTGCCTGAAAATGGCTAAGTCTGGCAACGTGTTTGTCAAGCCTACTTTGGAGCTCAATTTGAGAAGCATGGATGCGAGTAAGTCCAGGGCCTCTACCACGTTAAATTACGTATTTTATTATACAAAGGCAAGACATTGGATGAAAGATTGAATATCTTTAAGGCTTCAAACAAAAGGCTCGAAGTTGCTACGAAGGCTGTTTTTCTGGCAGCTTGCTTGTGCTCGAAGTCTGCCAGAAAAAAGCCTTCGTAGCAACTTCGACCCTTTTGTTTGAAGCCTTAAAGATATCCAATCTTTCATCCAATGCCTTGAATTTGTATAAAAACATACCTAATTTAACGTGGTAGAGGCTCCTAGACTCGACTCGCATTCATGCTTCTCGAATTGAGCTCCAAAATAGGCTTCACAAACATGTTTCCAGACTTAGCCATTTCCAGGCAGTTTCCCAGTTTTGGCATAGCCTTTTGATGAGGTTAAAAAATGGTCTTCTGGACTTCCTATCGAGCTCTCTTTCACTTCAATATGTAGAGGGACACTCCAGCTTCAAAACAAGTCATTAGTCTTAAATTTCCATCTAGCCAATTGTATGATATAAATATCCAAAGTAGGCACCATGAACTGTTTTTACACTGAAACAACATATTAGGTCGACCTGATCCTAAATGAGGTCGACCATATCCTAAATGAGGTCGACTTAATCCTAACTGAGGTCGACCGGAAAATGCAAATCACCGTGACATGCACGTCACCGTAGGCACACCCCAAAAGTTTGGACAGAATGAGAAAAGTTCGGGCAAAGGGAAGTATATTAATCCTAAACCTATCATTCTATTTCTAACCCTACTCCAAATATCATTAACCTAAAATAGAACAAGAGCGAGGGAGTCGACGTTCTGTGTGGGCGGAGATGGAAACCACCAAGGGCGGTGGGGCTGGGAAATCGGACATGAAGAAGGTCTCCCAGCATGAATTCGGCGGCGAAGATGCGCCACTCTCCATCTCAATTATCGAGGTGATTTGTTTTCTTTGTTGAATCGAGTATACACAGTTGGATTCGACACTCTTGAGAAGATGTAACGGAGGAACTTGTTCAGAACATGAAAGAGGAGTACGGGCTGTTTGTCTGGCCGTGCAGCGTAATACTGGCCGAGTATGTTTGGCAACAGCAGCGGCGCTTCTCCGGCGCCAGAGTGGTGGAGGTGATTTCCGGCTTCTCCCTCCCATTTTCTCTCCGCTTCTTCTAACTGATCCCACCCCAATTTTGATATTTTGGCAGCTTGGGGCGGGGACGTCACTGCCAGGATTGGTGGCCGCTAAGCTGGGTTCCCATGTCACTCTCACCGACGACGCCAACAGACCGGAGGTTTGTGTGTGTGTGGGAGCGAGTTGAGAGAGATAAATTCTTACATTTCAATTTCCCCGCCTTTTCAGTTGAAGTAGCAGTTGCAGTATTTGAGCAGGTGCTGGACAACATGGGGAGGGTGTGTGAGCTTAATGGAGTTGATTGCAAAGTAAGCCCATTCCCATTTTCCAATCTCTTGCTCGCTCCTCTTTTACCCAGAAAATGTTAGGAATCGGTAACGGTTTCCTCCCGGTAGGTGGTAGGACTTACATGGGGAGTGTGGGACTCGTCTGTTTTCGATTTGGAGCCCAAGTTCATCCTAGGAGCTGATGTTCTTTACGAAACCACTGGTAATCTTCTTCTTGTTTGTTGATCCACTCTATGCAGTTAGCCCTTTTGATTGGAACTGAGTTGAGTTTTGGTTGGTATTGGGTATAGCATTCAATGACCTCTTTGCGACTGTGGCATATCTGCTTCAGAATTCTCCAGGCTCTGTGTTCATAACAACTTATCATAACCGGAGGTATTTGATTTGTATGGCCCATCGTTGCTGTCTGTCTGTCTGTCTCTGCATCTTTGGTGGCTCTGTCGTGTTATGTTTGTGCATTAGTTAGCCAGGGACTAATTGGCTTTTCTGGGAGAGATGATGTATGCAGTGGGCATCATCTAATCGAGTTGTTGATGGCAAAATGGAGGTTGAAGTGCTCAAAGCTTCTTGACGGGTTCTCATTCATGCCACCCCACAAGGCATCTGCTTTAAGTGGCAATATTCAGCTGGCTGAGATAGTGGCATTAGACTGATATGTGAACTGCAGCATCCAATACAAGGCTAACGATCGAGTCTCAATTGCACAGACAAGAAGAATCAAGAAAGCCCTGTAGAATTCTCATTTCTAGGTTCGCTCCGCTGAAAACTTCTTTGGCCTCAAGACGCATGGGTCGAGTTATGAACAAGGGCTTGACATAGTGGTAATACCACTGGCTCTCAATTCTCCAAACTATACATCTTTTTCTTATTGTTTCGTCGGTAGGTATGCGAACAAACCTATTCATCATCTCGTGGCTACACAGTCCCGACAGTTATCTCATCTTTCTTTAAGCACATCCTGACGAACAGTCAGGATATCGAAAAATACAAGAGGGCGCATAGCACCAGGGTTCAAATCAATCTAAACACCGGAATTGAACCGACAACAAAAGATGCCACAAAGGCGCCCCTGGCAGCCCTCTTTTTTCACAGGATAAAGAGCAAACATGGACACGAGCAGACTGTTTCCGGAACGAGAAAGAGACATCAAAACCCCGGAAGAACCGAGTAATGAAAACCAATTCGATTAGAAAAATTTCCTATCGGATGCTTAATCAATAGGTGGTATATAGCGGTGTGAAATAATTGAACAATTTTTTCAATATAAAATATTATATCGCTGATGAGGCTATGCAAATCAAGCGTGAAAAATCCTTCTACACTTAATTCGTACAATCAAGTAAATAAGTTCCAAAAGCAGACCTGGGGTTGATTTGCGAGATGCTTGATAATTTGGGCGACATTTTTTTTTATATCAAATGGATGCAACTAGGGGTGGAAGTTTGGGTTGCGGGTTGTGGATAATCCGTAAACCGCACCAACCCGCACATATTGTGGGTAACCATACCCACAAGTTGTAGGTAGTGGGTTGAGTGTGGGTAGTAAAATAACGATTCTTGTGGTTAGTGGTTATCCACTACCTACCGCGGATAACCCACAAAATTCACAATAACCACACTTATTATATTTATTTAGTGAATTAACTTTATATATAATAGTATGTGAAAAGTGCGAGGATAAAAATTAAAGTAGCCACCAAATAAGAAAGACACACCTAATAAGTTTTATGTAAGAATTTTTAGTTTATAAAACATTATAATCGATAGAGTGGAGAATAATCAATTCATTAAAAGTGAACACCTTGTATAACTTTTATCAGTATGTTTTTTCTTTTGTGCGAAAAAAATACAAGATCATATTTAATTGTCATATTTCACCCCTAGTCGGGGAAATATGAAATCACAGCTCTCTGACACAAAAGTAGAATACCAAACTCAAAAGAAAAAATCTCCATGTTGAGTAAGATCGATGTACAAAATTGTATCTCCACGAACAACACAAGTGTATATCACTATAATCTAGTTACGAACAAAAAACACGTTAGTGGCGACTAGAACTCTATGCTTGCAAAGATGGATTTTTGCGGGTAACCACACCCAACCCGCACAAACCCACAGTGGGTAGTGGTTACCCACTAACCACTGCGGTGCGGATTGTGGGTAGCATAATTGTAAATTTGTGGATGCGGGTACCCGCAAAATGTGGGGCGGGTAACCACACCCACCCCAATTTCCACCCCTAGATGCAACGACACCCTATCCTTAATTCAAGACCACCCGGGGTTCGGAAATCCTCTGACCAGGAACAGCTCCGACTACATAGTCACTCACATCGCACATCAGCTAAATGGGAGAGACCAATCCGGAGTCACCATGATGGTGCATGGGTAAGCTTCTCCTTCAATGTCTCAAATGCAGATGTGTACTCTGGAGTGAAGTGGAATGATACATCTTTCTCTAGAAGTTTGGTCAAAGACAAGGCGATATTCGAGAAATCCTTGATTAATTGTCGGTAGAAGCCTGAATGACCTAGAAAGCTGCGGATCCCCTTCACAAAAATAGGAGGAGGTAGCTTACTGATCGTCTCTATCTTCGCCTGATCTACCTCAATCCCCTGCTTTGAGATCTTGTGCGTGAGCACAATTTCTTCGCGAACCATGAAATGACACTTCTCTCAGCTAAGTGCCAAGTTTGTCTCCTCGCACCTCTTCATGACAAGTTCAAGGTTATGGAGACAATGAGAGAAGTAGTCTCCATAAACCGAGAAGTCATCCATGAAGACTTTCATGAACTCTCCAACCAATCGGTCGAAGATAGCCATCATACATCATTGGAAGGTTATCGGTGCATCACAAAGACCAAGTGGTCTTCCCTTGGTCCTCTGGTGCGATCGAGATCTGAAAGTACTCGGCATGCCATCCAGGAAACAGTAAAACTCATAGCCCGCCATCCTCTCCAACATCTCGTTAATGAAAGTGAGCTAGAAATGGTCCTTCCTGGTGGCATCGTTCAGATGCCTGTAGTCGAAGCATACACACCACCCAATCACAGTCAGCATCGGGATCAACTCATTATTCTCGTTCGGGACAACAATCATCCCGCCTTTCTTCGGAACCACCTGAGTGGGGCTGGCCCACTTGCTATCAGATATAACAAAGATGATCTCGCCATTCATCTGCTTCACAATCTCTGCCCTGGCCATTACCTCCAGGTTAGGAGTCAACCTCCATTGCGGCTGCCTGGCTGGCTTAAACTCATCCTCCATCAGAATTTTGTGGGATCAGAAGGATGGGCTAATGCCTCCAATGTCAGTGATCTTCCACGCCATGGTCCAGGTATAATTCTTCAACAAAGCCACCAGACTGCTCTTTTGCTCGGGGGTCAGTTTTGAGCTAATGATTACCAAGAGCTTATTCTCCTCCCTGAGAAATGCATACTCCAAATGAGAGGGAAGGGGCTTAAGCACCAGCTCTGGTGGCTCCTCCAATGATGTAGCGGTCCAGGGCAAAACATGGATCGGTTTGAATGGCTTCTCTTGCCCCTCGATCGCGGCTCCCTCCAACTCTATCAGCTGCTGCGCCAACTGCAGCTCCTGTAATGCCTGGTCCCCTAGCTAGCAAAAGACAACGCTCGAGAAAATCATTAGTACACACATTCGTGATGGCGAGTGCGGTCTCATAGTCAGCAACCACATCACAATAATCAACATCATCATGGAGCTGGGGATGCTTCATATTATCATAAACATAAAAGGTGATTTGTTCACCCCCAGCCCACAAAATTAACTTGTCATCATTCACATCAATGAGTGCCTTGGCGGTGGCAAGAAAAGGTCAACCCAAAATCAAGGGAACATGCACATCCTCATTTCGATCAGCTAACTGAATGCTCATACTAGTATTACTGGGATCACCTATGCCTAGCTTCTTAAATAGTTTATATGGCATGACGTTTACGCTAGCGCCTAAATCCTTCAAGGAATTTCCTACGAGTAGACACCTCTTTCTCCTTCTACATTTCTTCATCATCTTCTGGAAGTGTTGAAGCAAGTCTCTCTTCCCCCTGTCTAGCCTGCACATGGATCTCCTTAGTTACCTTGCCGCTCCTGGTAGTAACAGCATTGCATTGGGCATCCAAGTCTATGGGATTAGGTATGGTCTGAACAGGTAAGGTACCCGGAGCCCTCTGCGTCACAGCTTTAGCCACACTACCAAGCTGGGTCTGAATATCTGGCAAAACAGCCTGTGTGTTCTATTGACCCGCTTCAAAGGAATTCTGACCAGCTTCAAGCTCCAGGAACTATCCCGATGCCTTCTCCATGAACCAATCCATATTACTAAATTTTGGGAGCTGACACTGGCAAGGGAACCCACCAAGTCTCGTAGTTCATCGATCAAATCATGTTGTACTAGGGCTACGCCCTGCTGCTGAAACTGTCTTGGTTGTTGTTTAGGAAGAGATTGCCCCTGTCTGGCCGGATAAAGAGGTTGTTGCGGCTGCTGGAATTGGCCCTTGCGGGCTTGGTATGGCGGTCTCTGGAAGTTCGGTGGTGCCTGAAATCTTGGGTGCTTAGATAATTGTTACAACTCCAGGAGAAATTAGGATGTTGGCGCCACCCCTCATTGTAGGTGTTGATGTAGGGGTCGATGGGCCTAACATTGCAAATAAAATCCAGTTGCTCGTGAGGTCGTTCTAGTATAGTGGTAAGTATTCCCGCATGTCACGCGGGTGACCCATGTTTGGTCCCCATCAACTGCGCCAAAAACTTGACTCGCTAAAACACTACACCAAACTGCGACCAAATGTAATCCCAATCTGGAAATGCAATATAGTGGTTTCAATTTTACTTGTCAACTCGGGTTCTAGATTTACTGTCTATTTTGTGAATCTCTATTATCTAGTTGTTCAGTTGAGTGAAGATTATCAAAAGCAAAAAAAAAAAAGAAAAAAAACATAAAGCAAGTAACGATTGTATTCAGATTAAGAAGGCTCACTCATGTACGAGTCCCCTTAGATCACAGTCAGGCCAAGTTGTAATTCACCTAAGTCAGGTTTATTGATGTTTAAACTGCGGAAATTTCTCAAACACTATGGAGTCACGACTAAAGTGCTCCAAACCCTCTTAGTTTGAATACCCGACGGGCAACTAACCCCCACCGGCGTAAGCTAACTAAGGCAATAAGATTCAAACTTCCTCTGCTGGGTTCTACACCGGTACAGAGCAGTGAATCGACTTCCCGACTAAAGTCGCCGATTCACTACCTCCAATTCAATATACTCTATTGACCTATGCAGAGATTATCATTCTAGGTCAAAGCAAGAATCACTAGAATTTGATCAAGACTCAAGCAATTCTCAATCAATACTTCAATTGGATATAAATCAATCAATCATTCATGGAAAAGGGTTCATACAACTCTTCCTAACATACAATCTAGGGTTCTTACATACCCAAGTGATAGAGGAGATCACTCCATAGAGAAAGTGAGAGTTGAAAGTTATGCCGGATGTAGAAATCATCATGTAGACGGAAGAAATCTGCTACGGGTCATCAATCGTGACTCCTTGAGGCTCGAATCGAACTCCAATGCTGGGGAGATTTGATCTAGGGCACTCTAGATTCTCTCTTCGTCACTTTCTCTCTCTAAACCTCTATTTTTAGCTCCAAGAATCGAATGGCCTTCAACTTCCCGTGTTTGGCTTGAAACAACCCCGATTGGGCATACAGGGGCAATACCCAATCTCGAGAAGAAATACCCGATCGGTTATTTGAGATCCACGACCGGTGGGCCTCCTGGATGGTTTAACAGGTCTCCTCTAATTATACCCGGTCGAGTATTTGGATGGCCTAACCGGGTATTCTGTCTTCTAGCTCCAGTTTTCGCCCACTCTCCACTTTTGACCCGAAACTCGCTCTTAAGCCTGCATTAACGCTCTTGGTCCTGAAATACGACATAAAAGCACAACCTAGTGTGAAATCGATTTAAAACACGAGAATCGGTCCTCAAACCGTGCAAGAATGAAGAGGCAAAACATGTACAAATA